CCCCCCCAACGCAGTAAACCTAGGGGAAACACTGAGCAGACTTTTCAATCAAATATTTCTACGTCAAGTTGATGTCATTCAGCATGACCCCAAACACAACGCAAACAGAATTAATATTAAAAAAGCTTGCATTCCAAATGGCAACTTTCTTAGTCTCTTTGCTGCCAACATACTCTCTCTGCACCAATATCATCTATAGCTCTCATTTAATTTTTTTGTTTTTCAATCAGATTTTCTAATAAATAGCATCAGCTATAGCTTATTTACATCCCCATGAACTTCATGACCCAGGCATATCTTTATCTACATCTCTATATGTCTATACCTATGTGTGTTCTTGTGTTGTCGTAACTAACTTGCCATTTGTTTTAGGGGTGAACTGCTCCGAAGTCATTGGAAAAGAAAGCTGTGACAGAATTTGTGAAAATGGGACATGCGTTCAAGGATCGCCTGCATCCTTTAAATGCATCTGTGACACAGGATCCTCTGGTAAGCAGCTCTTATTCAGTTGCTTGAATGTGACCATGAAGCCATAAATTGAATACAATGATACAGCTTTGATCCCTTACATGTGAATAACAGATAGCTTATCAGTTTTTCGATGTATCTGAATCTCAGTTCTATAGTCACTACCTTGTCAAATGCGTCAAAGGGGCAACCATCTTTAGAAAATGTTGAAGCAGAAAAAGTAATTTATCTTTTAAAAGATCAGCATTTCCTCATGGGCTCTGAACCTGATCCCACCTGATGTTATATTTGTCATCATAATATATGAAGCGGCCACTTCAAATCAAATACCTCATATTACGACCAGTGGCATGCAGTTGTAAAAAAGCCAGTGCTAAACTGAGCGTGTCGCAGTTGGTAAAACAAAAGGTTTACAGCAATCAATTAAAATGTAATTTATTGTACTTTGTTTCTGCTGAGCCTATTAAATCCCAACTTTTATACTGGTCAAATTCTTGAAGCCTGCTAGGAAGAAGTTTGCACGGGCTAAAACAGAAACAGCTTAAATGAAGCAAAAACACGTTATATCATTATATTTAAACCGCTCTCGCAGCAGATCAATGTATGGTAGTGTTCTACATTAGATTTAAATTATTTCTTATTTCTACTTAACTCTCTGTGTATCGTGCTTTTGGTTGTGTTGGAGGTAAGTTAATGCCAAGTCAAGTCTAGTGTATGCTAATGCCTCTCCCTTTAAACAATTTATAAAAGGCAAATTGTCACGTTTCTTTTTTTATTAGCAGCCACGTTATGTTCCTTGCTGTGTTACTTTGATAAGTTGCTGGGGGCTCTTGTGTGAGCAGCATTGCGTGGCACTTGTGTTCTGGTGAGATTGTTTATTACATTACTACTTCACACAGTATTTAGGTAATGGGCCTCATTTGCTCTAGTAACAAACACTTAGGTTAATCGGTTTAAGACACAAGTGGGTTACAAGACCTCTGTGCTTTTCCGGTTGCCCTGGAACTCACTGTCTTGTGTTAAAACAAGCTTGCATTGAACTTTCTGTGGTTAAACCTCCAGGTGGCTGTTCACATTGATTCATTGCTTTGCCACTTCAAGTCCAGCTCATGCTTCCTGCTTATTATTTGTGGAGAAGAGGTTTCAAGGTTACTTCCTGTGATGCTAGTACAGGAAGTTTCAAACTGAACAGTACAGGTGGTCCAGTCCTTTTAAACTATTTCATAAAACAACTCAGAAAGTATTTTAGATTTATAATGGCAAGATTCTGAATGTTTGAAAGGGGGCAATTATGCTTTACCTTCATACTCTTTATGTAGTGAATACCAAATGAAGGCTGAGTTGAACGCATGATGCTTGAATCAGAAGGTCATACATTTATTTAAAAAAAGTGTGTATTTTTATTAAATATCAAAGTAACATCTAAGTAGGTTACATTTAATGTCATAAAAACTTTGAAAGTAGTTTTCCATCCTTTATGTTTTACTCAAAATCCACATAGCTCCCTTAGAATATTACATCCCTTCAAACTTTGAACTGTATTCTTCATTGGCTTTAAAAAGTACATGACTGAAAATGATCTAGCTGTAGCACCAGTTAAATAAAAAACACAAACATGTATTTTGTTATAAATAACTGATGTAAGATGACATTTTGTGAAAAACAAACCAAACAGGTGGCAATGTAAAAGGTTCCGCCCTTGTCTGTTTTTAAATTTCACATGACTCACATCAGAAACAGATTGGTAAGTTGTATACACCCTGTGCCTTTGCAGCTTTTATCTAATTTGCTTTAATTGCTGCTACTCTCTCAAGTAAGCAGACTCCTCAGGGTGCTTTGGCATCGTCATGGTGTCCTGCTGTCCCATCAGCTTCTTGGGAGTTCTGTGGAGCTTGTGCTGCATCCACCTCCCTGCTGTAGTTGCCTCATTAATCACCTGGAAGTTAGTGGCTGCTCTAGCACTGGCTGCCCTCACAGGCCAAAGTCTATGCGCACAGAATAATGAGCGGAACTCATGGGACGTTTCAAATGAGATTTTCTTTTGATTTGACTCTCCTTTGCACTGTCTCTAGGGTGTCTGTTGCAAGGTATTACCATCATTATGGGGCCATTTCCATTTGATATAAGGTGTTAATTGTTTTTTTAATCTTGTGGGTAGCGATATCATATTTTTAAAGTTTAATTTGGACTATATTATGGTTATTACCCTTGTTAAACTATTTAATTAGATACTGACACAATGTTGTTTTCTTTATGCATATTAGATTGCTACAGTCCATAATCACTGCCATAATGTGTTGGAGATGAACAATTTGTTTTGCCAGCACAAATACAAATGATACAAAATCTATTAGACCATACATTACCATGCAAAACATGCATCTCTGTTGGGTGCTGCAACCATTATCTCTGTCATGTTATGTTTGGTAGTTGAAAGTGTTCCTTAACATTCTATGCTAGTATGTATTTTAGTAACTTTGAGTATTGTGGTTATGAAAACTGCATTCCTGGGGGAAAATAAGTTGAAGAAAAAGCTAACTCTGAAGTTGTACAGAGTAAGATTGATGCCCACAGAGGATGCTATGAGGAGCCTCTGGGACATGAGCACTTGTATCAGCAGGGGGATTAAAGAAAATATGCAAAGAAAGAGTCACTGGGAAGATAAATGTGTAGGCACCTGTGAGGAACACAAAAATGAAAACCCTCACCAGGGAATAACAACAAATCTTATTCACCTTGAACCTGGAGGGAATTCAGACTAACTTTATCCTTTGCATACAATGTCACTGCGGCTTTACCCCGACACTGGTTCTTCTGCAGCTGGTGAAAGTGTTGCGGTCCTGCAGTTTTTGGAAAACTACTGGCTACTGCTTGGTTCAGAATGACTTTATCTTGGAAGACGCTTTTGAAGCAGGCTGCAGCTCTGTCTGCTTAGTTTACAGTTCAGTGAAAATCCGCCATGAAAGTCCTTTATACATCGTTATCATGACTTCCTTTTTATTAATGTACTTGCTGTTAATGATTAAAGAATAATATTGTGGTTAAAGCAGCAATGATATTTGCAGCATTTTTGTCATTCTTAACTTGTAGGCAATTTAATAAATCAACAATATTGTATGCTGAATACTGAAAGCACAACATATATTTAATAATATTTATATTAATACAGCAAAAATGTATAATGGAATATAACAACCCACTAAGGGAGAACCAAGTCTTCTGCACATAAAGAGACATGAAACAGTATGATGCAATTTGTTGACTATTACCTTGTGCTCATACAGGCAATTTCATTTTTAGTAACTCTTAAGCATAATATTACATTCAATTAGGTCAAGCAATGACTGAGAACAACATAAAACCCAGTACAAGTTTTAACAAGTTCTTAATGCAGTACCATTATTTTTCCCTTCCAGCAATTCCAGCGGTATAATAATAATAATAATAATAATAATAATAATAATAATAAAGGAGGAAGCAATGGTGAGCCGTCAGGGCCCTCTAGGCCTAAGATATTCTACAACATAATATTTAAAAACATTAAAAATATATATATATATATTTTTTAAATATTGTTTTGTTATATTTTTCATTAGTTTTACCAAAATAACTTCATTTAATTGTATTTAAAATAACATTTCCAAAGAAATAAATCCTTCGAATCTGCCTATTCAGCTTCTGTTTGAATGTGAAGGGTTAAATGAAAGAAGCTCCTCTCTGCGAGTTACTGTGAAGACAGGAGCTGATTAGTGGTCCAGCTATGAATTCACAGAGGGCCCGCACAATTGACCAATCATATCTTCCCTATAAATGGGTGGGTTTTATTATCGCGGACTTTATGACAAGTTCCGCCCGCTGTGAAGCTTTTCTTGTTTCCATAGTAACAACAACTTCCTGTCAACAGTGTAAACTTGCCTTCAAAATAAAAGCATGTCCATACAAAATAGGAAGCCAAGCCAAATCAGGTCAGAGGGCCTAGGTATAAAAGTCACGGCTCACCACTGGGAGGAAGGGATAATAATAGAGGTTGGATCGCTTTGATAACATTTTCTGTCCCTTGATTTTCATACATTTCTGGCCTGGTTGAGTTTTCACAGTTAACGTTACTCCCGCTGCTACCTGGGGATATCTAATGTAAGCTATATTGTTGAGTTACCTTTAAGCAAAATGCTCTCTCTGTCTTTGTCTCTCACAATGAAAGCTTACTGTGAAAGGAACATCATGACCATTAGGCATGTAGAATTGTAAAGTGAACCTGAGGCTTAAATTAAACCAATTTAAACGCTGATGGTGTCATTATACTACCATCATTACATCGTGCAATCAACATTAACGTCATAATGATAAGTTAAAGCAATACGTTTTCTATTCCAAAAAGACTATTTTAACATGATCAAATAAAATATAATGCATATTTAAAATAATTGTGTATATTGGCAAGATCATGGGGTGACTGAACCACACATCACTTTATAACCTTGCGAGTTGTTTTTGACATATTTACAGCGAACTGCCATTCATGATCAAGTACTCGTTTATAGATCAATGTTACAGTAGACCTGACTTCCCGTGAGCTGCAGACCAACCAAAATATCCTGTGATGTGCAAGCACAAACTTTAATTCACATGCTCACAGCATGAAACACAACAACCTGAGATAGAGTAAGTACTTTGAAGTAATTAAAAGTAACACAAATAAATGTAGTGAAGTAAAAATACCAGGTTAATCTTAAAGAAAGCCCTCAGGATTATAAAAGACCCCCAGCCACAAACTGTTTGTGCTTTCTGCTGCCGTCTGGCAGGCGTTACCGCAGCATCCGGACCTAAAACCCACCAGAAAATCAGGGACAGTTTCATCCCCACAGGCCATAAGATATAAACACCTGAACGTTGAAGCAACATCCATCAACATTCACTCTGGCTGCTACTTAGAAACTTATTTATCTAAATGTCCATATTCCAATCACTTTGTATATAGACTCTTATTGGCACCATTTCACTATTTCCCTATTTTAACAAATTTTTCTTTTTATTTACTTGCCACTATTTTTTTCTGGGTGGACATCGTTCGAGTCTGTTTTGACCAGTGTGCCGTCGATGGGTTTCATTCCATTTTCAAAGAGCGTTTGAACGCTCGGCGTAAACTTTTTGCGGACTGCCACTCCAAACATCCAATCCACAGGCGTTGAGGAACTAAATCACGGGTTTTGTCCAAGCAAGCGCATGGTGGTAGTCCTAAACGATAGCGTGAAGATTATGGGTAGTGTACGTTTCTTCTGCCATCCTAAACTCCGAAAAAAATATTGTTTCTCCGAAATCGAAAAAAAAGGGAAAAATACAAAAGTATTGTACACAATTTAAACCATCAATGTTGTGTAATTAACAAGGATAAACAT